GGTCTCTGCTTAAACAGCGCTTCCTCCTGGAAGCCTTTGCTCACAACCCCGACCCCCACACTGGCTCTCATCACGGCTTATGAGAATTGCTTAATTGTCCACCTCATTCCTGGGACCACCAGACTCCTTTGGGTTGGAGTCCTGTCTGCTTGTCCCCATTGTTTCTCTAGCATTAACACAATGCTTAGCACATAGTAAACTCTTAACGTGTGTGTAAATATATATTTTAAACTGGATAATGAATGATGGATGGTCAGACAGATGGGTGGACGCAAGGAACAGGTACCATTTGGGTTGAGTCTTGACCACGTTGTAGGGTCGCCAGGGGAAGAGCGTTCAGGTAGAAGGCAGGTGTGGCTGGATGCGGGAGTGTCGGACTGGAGGCACCGTGGGAGATAAAGGCGCATGCAGACGGATTACAAGGACCTTGAATGTCACGGTGCGGAGTCTGGACTTAATTCAGTAGGCGATGGGGAGCCATGGAAGGGTTTTAATCAAGCCAGTGACATGATCCCACCTGCGTTGGAGAAAGATCGCTCCGGCTGCAGCAGGCATTGCGGTCGGGAGGGAACCAGAGGCTGGGGGCCAGGGAGGAGGCTGCCACGAGGTTTGGGAAAAGCCACGGAGGTCTGAGCCGGCGCAGGGGTCGTGGGACAGATGCGAGGGGAGAAAGGTAGAGACTAGGGTGAGGCAAATCTGTGGGCACCTAGAAGCTGTTCCTACACCTGGACCACCCGCGGGGACCACACAGTCCCACGAAGGATCCTGAGATCAGAGCCAGATCCTGGTGGCCCTGACCCAACCGCCTCCCGCAGGGGAGCAGGCAGCTACAGTCACGCGCAAAACCACAGGGACAGCCGTCTTCAGCCCTGTGGGAACCAAGGGACACAAACAGAGGGACAATAACAGCAACAAAACCGCTCCATTTGTGGAGGACCCTGGGTGCCAGGCGCTGTGTGAAGCAGCACCCAGACTCACACATATTTAAGCTTCACAGCAACCCAATGAGGTACGTAGTACTTTTCCCTCTGTTTCACAGAGGAGGAAACTGAGGCTCAGAGAGGCGAAGCAACTCACCCAAAGTCACACAGCCAGCAAGTCACAAATCCAGGCTGCTCCAACTCCAACGCCCATGCTCTTAATCAGCGATTTCTCTTACACAAAGGAGGGAGCCGGGAGCGAGTGGATGGCCGAAGGCTTGTGTGTCTGATGAGGAAGCAAGAAGCTCCCAGCATGATCCCAATGTGACAGCAGGAGGAGGCCTGCTGATGGGGCGAGGAAGGAAGCACAGGGGAGAAAGGGAATTCCTCCAGGTCTCTGTACACCATGTGTTCAGACCCAGACTCATATTCACAAAGGTGTGTCTCTACTGCAAGAGAACTGGGCTAAGGAGTGAACAGGGTGTACAGCCTTAACTCCTAGTTGAGCCACCTTTGTGGGGATTAAAGAAAGGCATCCTCTTCTGAGGGCATGCAGCTCCACAGGCCCATGGCTGGTAAGTAGAGAAAGCCTTTTCTGCACATTCGAGCAAGGTGCCTCTTCCTCTGGGAGGACATAGTCTGCCTGTAGGGCACCTGATTGGTTGAGTGGAGCTTAAGATGGATCTCAGCCCCTACTCTCCTCCTACACTGAGTGCCCTTGAACAGTCAACAACCTGCCCAACTGTACATGACAACCATGCCTCCAGCGCCCCCTGTCCTGCGCCCCTGTTTCCCAGCACCCACTCTACATCATCCTCAATAAGAAAAATGTTTCCTATGGCAGATACAAAGAGCTCAGGCCATTCCACAGACAAGTTCTTGTTAGTCCTTGCCTCCTCTATGGGAGAAAAGATGAAGTCCTAGTATGCCCACGGCCCTGATGAAAAGTTGATGTCGGGGCCTGTCTTGATGGTCCAAAAAAGGCCAAAACAAAAATCTAGGCTTTCTCTAGAGAGGCCTGTATCAAAACACAAGGCTCCAGGAAGCAGAGGCCTCTAGTCCAGAGCTCCATCTTAAGGGCCCTCTAAGGAGTCCAGGGGCAGAGCGTATGCCCACCCTTGTGAGGGGCATGAGGCTCCTCTCCTTGAGCCTGGCCTGAGGCCTGGGTCTCCTCCCAGCCTGGCAGGTGTGGATTCCCCATCTTGTCCCCAACCCCTAGTGGCCTCCTTGGCTCAGCTCCAGGGCGGGATGGGGGAGCTCCCAGCCCTGATGCCCCAGCCCAGGGCACCTTCTTAGGGTCTCCTTTCCCCCAGGCACCACCCGACTCCACCCTCAGCTGCCGCCCCCAGGCCGAGCTGCACCAGCCGCTGCAGCCTGGGTTATATAAACAGGAATCATTCTCTCTCTCTCAGAATACCTGAGGCTGCATTTCCAAATGGAGCTTCCTGATGGAAGAAAAAAAAAAAAGAACAGAGAGAGGAGAGGAAATTTAATTGGCTGACGCCTATCGCCCATGTGGTAAATAAACTGGCTGCTCCAAACTTTGCTAACTCGGAGGAGACAGGCCCTCCTGGGGTGGCTGCCCCGGCGTCAGCCCAGCCCCATCTCAGGAGGATTTGGAGGCAGGGCTCCCACAAAGGCCTGGGAAAAACCAGAGCCTGGGGAAGCAGCAGGGGAGCTGGAAGTCTCGCCTCCAGCCACAGCTATTCCAGACCACCAGAAATGTCCTGAGGTCACAGCCACCCCCTCCGCGCACACACACTTTTTGTAGAAGGGCTGCGACCTGCCGGGGGTCACACCACACCGTTAGGAGCCAAGCTGCATTCTCAGTGTCTGTTATTTTGGCTTTTCCACCAAAGGCATTTCAACAGCTTTCCCCAGATGCTGGCCTGGGAGCACGGGGGTCTAACCTAAATACCTCTTGCTGCGTTTAAGCAGGCGTCTTCCTGCTGTGCTTGCAGCATGAAGGCAAGAAAATGCTGTTTCCCCTCAAATCTGTCCAACATATAAAGAGAGCTGGTGGGGCTGGAGGTCAGGACCCCGGGGTTCCTGTTCTGGCTCTGGATGTAGCTTGCCCTGTGACCAGGCCTCTGTTTCCAATACTTTAAAATGTGAAAAAGGGGCCTCGGGTGGTCTCTACTGTGCCCACAGTCTGGAGGAGCAGAGGGGGGCTCCCCATCTCCAGGAGTCCGCTCGGAGGGCCGCTCAGGAGGGGCAGCTGTCCCCTGGTTGAGAGATACCTGATTGGCTTTGCAAAGCATCTGCCCCAGGGGGGCTGGCAGGGTGGTCCCAGAGGGGCACGCAGACACCCCCAGGAGGCAGGCAGTGTTTAAATGTGGACCTTCCCTTCCAGGAAGAGTGTAAGAGGAGCGTCCCAGACACTGGGGAAGGGAGACGAATAGGGGTGGAGTGGAGTGGAGAAGTAGATGAGGCCGGGAGAGGGGTAGGGGGCAGGTGATGCTGCAGAAACAAACTGAGGCAGGCGCGATGGAAGATGGGTGGAGGAGGAAATGGCCATAGATGGGCAAAGACCAAAGGATGTCATTCTGGGTGTGGAGGCCAAATTCCAAAAAGGGCTGCAGAATAGGGGTGATTAAAGGGCAGAGTAGGCAAGAAGGACAAGGATGGGGGTACTAATGAGGGACAGAGGGGCATGACGTTAGGAAGGAGCCTTTGGGTTCCAAGGCAGTGTTGGTGCCGACAGAGGGTCGTGGCGCTGACTGGTTGGGTGGAGAAGAGGACGGATCCAGAACCCTGCTGGAGGGGCGATAGAAGGCGGGCAGCAGCCCTCGAATGAGCCGCTGCCTGCGCTGGGGGCACCTTGGCCAGCCCCCGGGACCCGGAAAGAGCTGGAATCAGACCCACGGAAAACGGAGTTGGCATGCGCAACCCCCCGCCAGGCCCGAGCAGCAGGAGAGGAGAAGACGGTTCCCAGAAGCGCGAGTGTTAAGAAGCTTTCCGCCGGCTTCAAGAGGCGGCTTCTCTGCCCACCGCCAGGGGGTGCCCCTGCAGCTCGGGGAGACCTCGGGGGACTCCGGGTTAGCTCCTCGGCTGCAGCCCTGCCTGGTGGTGTCCAGCCGCGCCCCAGCTGGGGCCGGGGCCTGACAGCGCCGGAGAAGAGCGAGAGGAGAGGTCAAATCCGGGGGCACGTGCGAGACGGGTCTGGACCGTGCCCACCGCGAGCCGCCCGGCACCCAGCCCGCGCACACGATCACCTCCTCCTTCAGCGCCCCGGCGACCCCTCCCCGAGGGTCAGTCCCAAGTGGCGCTCCCTTTGGACGTGAGGCCGTCGGGCCCTGTCCTTCTTACGTGGAGGGGACAGTGCTCCCGTAGCTGAGTCCTAGGGAAGAGGGCAGCGCTGCCCCTCTCTCACCACCTGTCCGCGAGCCGGCCCGACGGCCAGAGGGCAGCAGGGTCGCGCTGGTGGGGCCGGCGGGCGTCCCCGCGGACCAGCTCTCCCCCTCTCCCCGAGGTGGCCGCAGCCGTGCGTGTCGCCGCGGCTTTGAGTCTGCCTCTTAGGTGCCCCCGGACGCGCCACGACCTCGCACACACACACCCGCGCGCACACGCTCGCGCCGTTCGGTGTTTCCCGGCCCCGGACCCCGCCTCTGGGAGGGGCCCGGGAGCCGAGCCCCGGTAGCAGGGGGTGGAGGGGCACCAGGAACGCCTGGGTCCCGGCCCCACTGTTGAGACTGTGCGCCACCTCCCCAGCCCCTTTCGGCGCGCGGGCTTGGCCCCCGGCGCTGCCACCCCTCGGCCCGCGGGGGTCGCGGAGGCTCCGGGTCGCGCGGCGGGCGGGGTAGGGGGGCGGGTGGGGGCCGCGGGCTCCGGGCCGAGAGGCGGCTCGGCTCCGCGCCGGGGAAAGTTTGGACGTGGGAAACTCCCTCCCCGCCCTCCCTGCCGAGAGGAGGGGGCGCGCGGGGGCCGGGCGCAGGCACCCGGGCTCCCCCTGCGGCGAGAGGCTCGCCCTCCGCGCCGCCTGCCGGGCCGCTCCCGCCGGCCAGGGGGCTCCCTCCTTGCTGGGCAGCCTCCCCTCGGAGGCGATCCGGCCGCCCCTCCCGCGGCACCTCGCGCTCTTACCTCGGGGAGCGGCCCGGGGCTCCCCCCAGTCCTGCCGCCTCGGGACGCTGCGTGCGGCGGGCGCCCCGGCGCGGGCGGGCGGGCGAGTCCGGAGCCCGGCGGCCGCCCGGAGGAGCCGGAGGGGGAGCGGGCGCGAGAGGGGGAGCCGCGGCGGCGTGTGCGCGCGTGTGTGTGTGAGCGAGGGAGAGCGAGGGAGTGAGCGAGCGGGAGCGAGGGAGTGTGCGTGTCTGACTAGGGGGGAAGTGTGCAAGGGACGGATCCCTTCCTTCCTCCCGCAGCCTCTGGTGGAGACTCGGAGAATGCAGCGCCCGCCAGGCAGGAGCGCCGCGCCGCGCCGCGCCGAGCCGCAGGCGGCCGCGGGGCCCGGCCCCCGCAGCCGGGGAGCCCCGGCCCCCGCCCACCGGATCGCGCCCCTCCCCCGCCGGGAGGGGCTGGCCTCTCCATCTTACGGGCTGCCGGGTCCCAGGAAACCCCCGGGGGGCGGTGCCCCTCCTTCCTCCAACCCCAGATCCGCGCGAAGGGAGCGCCCCCAGGAGGGGGACCATCTCCCTCCCCGCCCGGCAGCTCCCCGGAAGGCCCCAGTTTGAGACCCGACCCTTCTCTGTCGCCTGACTTTACTGTGTCTAGGGTTTCCCATTTCCCCCCGCTACTGTAGGAGCCTGGCTTCAGAGGCGAGGGGGTGCAGGCAAGGGTGGGGGCAGGCTTCTCCAGGGGCCGCCCCTGGCTGGCTGCCCAGGAAGGCCCCTGCGCACACCCACCAGTTTCAGAAGCAATCACTGCGCACTGACGGGGACAGAAGCTGGGGCCCAGTCTCTAGGGAAATATGAGGTCGTGTTCTGGGAGGAGAACAGGGGCTTCTCCTCTTCTTGGGGGGTGGGGGGGGGTGGGGACGCTGGACATGCCTGCAACCAACAAAGTAAGCAGGTAAGACAACCCCGTCCTAAATTTAGCGCCACCTTGGCCTCCAGAGCCTACCAATACCCACGCCCTCGCAAAGCCCTGAAACACCATCCAGGCCACATTTTCCATCCTCTTAGAAATCCAGCTAGCCCGCTGCCTGGGGTCTTTTCTGCCCAGCCCAGTTTCTTTCTCCTGGCTGCATGGCTTTCTCTTCAGTCCCATCTCTCTAGGCTGAGGCCTAATTGAGGAGACTCCTGACCCCCGAGTTCTCAGTATGGGGTTGTTGATGGTGGACTAGGACCAGTGACTTCCATAGACCCACCCTTTGTCTTGGGTTGGGGGACCCCTTAGGAGCCCCTCAAAGGGCTGTCGGATAAGTGGGTGAAGGATAACAGGAGACAGGACAGCCATCTCGTTCTGTGCTGCCATGCTGTCACTGACCAGACACATAATGGTATATGATCACCTGCTGAAGTTCAGAGCAAAGAGGAAACAGGATCCACCAGGGCCTCTGTGGGTCCTCAGGGACCCAGGCTCCACCTCACCCCGTTCTGCTCCTTGCCTCCTTCCCTAATTTCCACCTCCATCCCCACACCCTGGTCCTTCCCCTCTCATTCTCCCTAGCAATTGGAATCCCTTTCCTGCTGGCTGTCCCTCCGGCCCCTCCCACTACACTCTATCTTTCTTTTATTTATTTTGAGATTTATTCTCCATCACGCCAGCCCGTTCCCTCCCCTAAGTCCTTCTCTCGGTTTATTCCCCTTCATTGATCTCTCCCAGCCTGCCTTTGTGTCGTCCTCTTCTCTCCATCTCTCTCCTCCCCTCTCCTCTCTATTCTTAGCCTCCACTCTTTCATGCTTTGAGAGACCAGAGGCCAGCCCTTCCAGATACATCTCCTCACTTTCTCTTCTCTCCCTCCCCTCCACTCACTTTTGCCATTTGCTCCGGTTTCCCTCCCACCCATCCTCTCCCTCCAGCTCCTGGTTTGTACTATTCATTGCAGGTGTCAGACCTACTTAATTGTGCACACGTTGTTCTGGGGTGGGACACTGTTGCTCTCACATCTGCATATACACAGTAGGTGCTCAATAAATGTTTGTTGAATGAATTACTCACACATCTTTCTTTTGATCTCTCTCTTCTCCCATCTCTGCTTTCCCTCCCTCAACGTCTCTTCTCAGACTCACTTCCACCATTATCTCTAATTCTTTCTTCCTCCAACAAACCTTTGAGCATCCACTCTGTGTCAGGCACTATGCCAGGCTCTGGGCACACATTGAGGTCACCATCAGTGATTATTGAACACTTACTGTGTGCCATGAATTTGCCTTTAAGTCCTTGAAACAATCAGATACTAGTATGAGCCCCGTTTTACAAATGAGGAAACTGAGGCACAGAGTGTTGAAATGTCAAGATCAGGCAGCTGCAAGTGGTGAGATCAGATTGGTGCATGGCACTTAGGCCATGGGAGAAGGTAAGCAGGGCCTTCAGCTGCAGTGTGACAGGTGCAGCAAGAGGCTGTGTAGTGTGACAGAGGAAGCCCTGGGCAGCACTGGGCTGAGAGCAGCTCTGCCCAGTGCGGCTGTGTGACGGTGGGCAAGCCTGAGCATTAACTTGTAGATCCAATGAGCCAGTAGTGACGAGGGCTAACCTTAGAGAGCAATGCCATATGTCAAGCCCTGTGCTAGGTCTTTCACATGGATTATTTCATTTGATTCTCGCAGCATCCAACTTATCCATTTATAGATGGGGAAACCAAGGCACAGAGAAACTGTAAAACTTGCCCAAGGTCACACAAGTGGCCGAGCTGGGATTCAAACTGAGGCAGGCTGGGACCCGAGCTTGCACACTGACCTGGTGTGCGGTACTGCCCCAGACAAGTAACATGCCTAGCTCATTCTAGATGCTTCGTTAGAGGTCTGAACCTGTGCGTGTACAAATAAGGGAGACACGATCTTCCAGGGGTAGGGATGGGATGGGGGAGCTTCTGGGGAAGGGGCTTGTGAGAGTCCTCCGTTCACCTCCATTGGAAGGGCGTCCAGCCCCCTCTTGGTGCACTGAGCATGCTCTTCCTTTGGAGCGGTCACCTGAGCCCACGGGTGTCCCCTCCGTCTAGCCCAGGGTTTCTTCACCTTGGCACTATCGACATTTTAGGTCAGATAATTCTTTGTTGTGGGGGCGCTGTGCTGTACGTTGTAGGATGTTTGGCAGCATTCTGGCTTCTATGAGCTAGATCCCAGTAGTGCATCCCCCCTTCCCTAGTTGTGACACCAAAAATGTGTCCAGACACCGTCAAATGTCCCCTGAGGGGCAAAATCACCCCTAATTGAGGACCACTGCTCTAGCCTGAACACCTTAATAGTAGGGTCTGCTCTGGGGCACCTTTGGAGAGTCTGAACAGGTGTCAGTGAAGGGCATGGCTGGGGGCAGGCTGCTCCCAGCTCCAGGCTCTGCCATTTCCCCTGGCTCTTTTCTCCTTTTCTGCACTTGCTCACATATGGCTGGAGCCCACATGGCCTCACTTCTCTCTGTCCCCACCTGCGGCTCTGGCTCTGTCTTTTTGTCTCCTTGTTTATCTCTTTCTGTCTGTTACCTTCTTGCCCACTGTCCACTTGATCACCCTTCTCAGCTCCTCCGCCTCTGTCTCTGTCTCCTTCTCTCCATCAGTGTTTGTGGGTCTCTCTGACCCTTTCTCTCTGAGTGTCTGTCTCCTTCTTTGTTTCTTTCTACGTGTCCCTCTATTTTTTCTCTCTCTCTCTTTCCCTGGCTGCATATCTCTGTCTGTCTTTCTCCATCCCTTTCTGTCTCCATCTGTCCACCTTCTCCCAGTCTCTCTGTCTCCCTCTCTCTGGTCTCTCTGTCTCTTCTTATCTCTGTTTGTCCCCCTCCTTCAGTCTCCCCTTGCCTGTCCTGCTATGGCTCTCTGTCCCCATCCTCTCCGTCCTTCCCCTCTCTTTTCCCTTCTACCTTCTTCTCCCCACATTTCCTTCTACTTCTTCCTTCCTTCCCTCCTTCCTTCCTTCCTTCCTTCCCTTCCTCTCTCTTCTCCCCTTCCCTCCCTCCTTCCTTCCTTCCCCCTTGCCCCTACTCTTCCTCTATTCTCCTCCATCTCCCCCCCTTCCCCTCCTTCCCTCCCCCTCCTCTCGCTTTGTCTGTAGGAGCTGGAAGTTAAAAGCTTTTCCGAACTTGCTCTCCAGTCGCTGTTCCCGGCGCCTTTCATCTCACCAGCACATTTGTAAAACTGCGCAGACTGAAGGGCCGTGACATGAACAACCAAAGAAATGTCAGCGCGGCGACTGGGGCCTCCAGCCCGCCGGGGGGCGGTGGGGGGGGCAGTCAGGGCGCACCCCAGCCCCTCCCGGGAAGGCACCGGGGACGGGGATGGGGACAGAGGGCCCCTGACCCTGGGCTCCCAGCGCTTTGCGCCTCTGCGGACCGGCCTCCTCTGCCGGGGCCGACGCGAGCTCAGGGGCGGGGCGGGGCGGGGCGGGGCGGCCCGGGGGGGGGGGGGGCCGCCCCGCCGGAGAGAGACGAGGAGGGCTGCGGCGGCGGAGCCTCCCGGTGGGAGAGGGAGGCGGCGGCGAGCCCGCGGGGGAGCCACACGCGCCAAGCGCCCGCTGCGCGCTCAAACGCCTCATCGCGTTCATCCTGGAGCCAGACTGTCTGGGTTCAAATCCCGCCAGCCCACTTACCGGCTGTGTCATCCTGGGCAAGTGACTTCACCTCTCCACGTCTCAGTTTGCTCGCAGGTAAAGCGGGGTGGGGGGTGATGATAGCAGTGCCTACGTCAAAGGGCTGGGTGAAGACAATGAGCGAATCCACGTAAGACACTTGAAATAAGCGTTTGCTGTAATTAATAAGGATAACGACAACTCGGCAAAGTGGAATGCTCAGCCTCATGCTCCAGGTGGGGAAACCCAGATTTAGAGGGGAAAGTGACTGGCCAAGGACTCAGAACAAGCAAGGGGCAGAACAGGGATTGAAGCCCGGGGTCCCTCTCCCCCTCCCCCTTTCTCCTCAAGGAAGTGGGCACAAGGATGGGGCAGAGCTCCGGCAGTTAAGGACTGAATCTGATCGATCACTGCTGTCTCCCTGCATCCGTAGATACAGCGCATAGTAGATGCTCAGTAAATACTTGCGTGAAGGAAGGAAGGAATGAAAATGGCTGGAAAGTTGCCAAAGCTAAAACACTGAAAGCCTCCTTTGTTTGCAGGAGTAGGGTGGGCTGAGGTGGAAGACGGAGCCCAGCGCCAGGGAAACTTCTGGGCAGGGAGAGCTGGTGCAAGTCCGGGGCGGCCATCTGGGACCCAAACTGCGGCAGCACCATGGACAGCAGACAGGGCCCCAGGTCCGGAGCCCGTTTTCACAGCAGGGGCTGTGGAGCTGCCCGGCTAGGCCGAGACCTCCATGTCTGCGTGCATCCCAGCTCCCAGA